TTATGTAGACCCAAAAATATATATACACTAGATTTTGACCCACGCCAAGCGTGGGATTAAATAATTAAATATGTTTTTAATCGAATTTAATATTTAGACGTGTATTCTAACATTTATAAACACACAAAAATGATATGTATTGTGCATACATATAATAAAGTTAAATTTTGATCAAAAATAAATATATTTGATCTTTGTTATTTTTCATTTTTTCTCATCTATTAAAAATAATCATGAATTTTTGTTTTGAATATTTTAATACCGCTTTTGACTCGGATAAAAAAATCTAATATTATTGCAAAGAAAACAAGATATTTTCAAATAATTTATATATTCCTTAAATAAAATTATCTATATTAATTACCACATATTCGTTATTTCCATATATTTGTTATTAAGAATTTTTATTAGGAAATGAATTCCTTAAAACCCTCTTATGATGACCTAGGATTTTCACCTAGTGTCTCATATATTAATATATAGAGGACAAATGGAATTCAAATCATATTCTTAATAACAAAAAAAATATTCTTACCCATTATAAATTTATATTAACTATATTATAAAATCTTATAACAATTAAAATATCATAGAGTTAAATCATAAAGCAATAAATTTATGTGAATAATCTCATAGATTAAATCGTAAAGCAATAAATATCATAGAGTTTTATGAAGCATTATATATAAATCTATGATTCATAAATGTCATTGATGTCATCGGTTTATTTTCCATAGAGATTTATATGTACTCGTCATATATATCAAGTACATATAGACTTTTAAATATATCAGGTTTATGGGCAATTGGACGTGATCCGGATATGTGAAAAGATCCAGAGATGTTTCGCCCAAAGAGGTTTATGGATAATAATATTGAGGCAAAAGGACAAAACTTTGAGCTGTTAACAGCCACTGGAATTTATAACAATGGTGGAGTTTGGTCTGGCGAATATGTTGTATCATTTTGACTGGAAACTACCAAAAGGTATGGCCATCGAAGATATCGATATGGAAGAAGCTCCTGGACTTACTGTAACGCCCGTAAACCAAAAAGGGGGATTTTTGGGCATGTGTGTCGATCGACACGGAGTAAAATCAGACCGACGGTTTCGGTTTCTGATTGCCAGTTTGGGGAGCGGTTTAGGGGACATCCTAGGGTTGTATAAAAGGACTGGAACAGATGCGTAATGGTCTCTTTTTGGCCGAAAATCAGAGAAAGAGGAGGATTTGAGAGAGAAACAAGAGAGGTTGTGAGTTGTGTGTGATTGAGGGTGAAKGACAGCTTCTGTTCRAGTGTTKGAKAGGGCAAMCGGCTRGRMAATTCRAGGAGGATTGGGGTGAAACTTTGAGGGTAAGTTCTCCGATCTCTAGTCTCGATATGGGCGAAATCCGTTCGTCATTTGGTTGAGTATTCGTTGAGTTATGGCTGTTTGAACTCAATAGGGTTGTGCAGACTTGTTGCTGCGATCAGTCGGCTTCGGGAAGGCTTTCCGATCGAACCAGAATGACTTAGAGACAATCAGCCTATCTGTAGAAATCTCTCTCTGTCTAGTTTCTAAATCAGGTTTCAGATCCTTATTCTGAGGTATTATCCGTTCTCGGGTGTGCTTTCAAAGTCAGTGTGTCGTTCCTGTCTTCTGAAATCATAATTCGGTTTAGGTGATTTTTGGAGGAGACGAACGGCTAGGCAAATCAGGTCTGTTAGGGGTGAAACTTTGTTGGTAAGTTCTCCAATCCTTTTTATTGATGTGGGTGAAAACTGCTCGTCAATGGGTTGAGTATTTAGGGAGTTATGATCGTTTTAACTGGGTAGGTTTCTGCAGTTTTCTGCTACGATCAATCCACTTAGAGGGAGGATTCCCGTCGAACCAGAGAGAGTCTGGAGACGATCCACATACCGACGTGTAGCTGGTTTTGTCTAGTTTTCAGAACCGTTTTCCGATTCGGATTTGGATAATCCGTTCGTCGTGTGCAAGGCGTTCTTGTAGGCGTCGTGTTCTTCATCTTTTCAATCCTTTCG